TTTTTGAATGACGGCCATTCTGACTGGTGTGAGGTGATACCTCATTGTAGTTTTGATTTGCATTTCTCTGATAATTAGTGATACTGAGCATTTTTTTCATGTGCTTTTTGATCATTTGTATGTCTTCCTTGGAGAATTGCTTGTTTAGGTCTTCTGCCCATTTTTGGATTGGGTTGTTTATTTTTTTCTTATTGAGTCGTATGACCTGTTTATATATTCTGGAGATCAAGCCTTTGTCGGTTTCACTTGCAATAATTTTCTCCCATTCCATAGGTTTTCTTCTTGTTTTACTTCTGGTTTCCTTTGCTCTGCAGAAGCTTGTAAGTTTCATTAGGTCCCATTTGTTTATTCTTGCTTTTATTTCTTCTAGGAGAAAATTTTTGCAATGTATGTCAGATAATGTTTTGCCTATGTTTTCCTCTAGGAGGTTTATTGTATTATGGAGAAGTTCTTTTAACATCTCTTGCAAGGCAGTTCTTCTGGTAACAAATTTTCTCTATGTTTGTTTATCTGATAAAGTATTTATTTCTGATTCACCTTTGAAAGATATTTTCTTTCTTTACACCTTATCTTCTTTCCTTTTAACACTTTAAATATTTCATTCCACTCTCTTTGTTTACATGGTTTCTTGAGAAAAGTCAGAATAATTCTTATCCTGCTCTTCTTGTGGTAAGGTGTTTTTTCTTCTGGCTTCTATCAAGATTTTTTCTTTCTCTTTGATTTTGTTTAGTTAGACCGTGATATGCCTAGGTGTAGATTTTTTTCTTTTTTGGTATGTATTCTGATTGGTGTTTTCTGAGCTTCCGGGATCTATGGTTTGGTGTTTATTATTAGTTTTGAGAAACTCTCAGTAATTATTGCTTAAGATATTTCTGCTGTTCCTTTTTCTTATCCTTCTGGTCCTTCTATTATATGTATGTTAGAACTTATGTTATTGTCCCACAGTTCGCTGTTATTCTATAATTTTCATTCTTTTTTAACATTTTTATTGATTTATAATCATTTTACAATATTGTGTCAAATTCCAGTGTAGAGCACAATTTTTCAGTTATACATGAACATATATATATATTCTTTGTCACATTTTTGCCTTTTAGTTTTGGAAGTTTCTACTGACATTTCCTGAGAGATTTCTTAAATATTGTCTGAGAAGAATCGTTCTTTTAGAAATATTCCCTTATTATTATCCAAGAGGCCTACTGATGTGGTGGTAAAGTGTGAGAGGAGGGGTAGCATTCTACAATTCTATAATTATGTCCCAGTCTTTTAGTGAAGCTATGCTTCTGACCTATGATTTCACAAGTACTGCTCAGTTGTGTTTCAGGTTTTCCCCTTAGAAGAGACAAGAAAGCATGCCAGGTCCAGAGTTGAGAATTTCCCCTTTCCTAGGTCAGCTAAGGTCTGGTAAAACCTCAGTACATTAGGGTGTGACAAAGTAGTTTCTCTTGAGGGTAGGCCTTGTTAAGAAGAATGAGATGCTCTGTGCATATTTTTTAAATGACTGATTTTCTTATCCCACTCTTAAGAATTGTAGTAATGTGAGGGAATTTTTATCAGATCTTCACCATGAGAACCTAATAGGGCTCCTGAGCATAAAGCTCACAAAAGCAAAGGGATTCCCTAAGACTGGGCCCCCTTACAATTTTTAACTCTCAAACTTGTTCACACTGAGCTTGTAACAATTTGTCAATCATAAGTTGGGTTTTCCAAGCCCTGACTGGTTCCCAAGGAGTTTTCTACTCTTGGGCTTCTGCTCTCTAAGTTTCAGTTCTCTGTATCCCTGTTTGTATCTTCAGTTTTTGGGACAGTAGTTGGTCCTATGTCCTCAGTTCTCTGATGGAACTAAGAGGACTGGATTTTTAGTTTGTTCTATTTTTTTTTCTTATTGTGTGAGTGAAAGAGATGACTTCTAAGCTCCTTACATGACTAACTGGAATGCAAGGGAACTTTTGAGACCTCAAAGACATATTTATTGTAATGTTTTCATCTTTTGAAAACTGGTTAGACTATCTTTTAATTAATGTACGTTATTTTTTCTTTTAAAGGAATACAAAGTAAGATCTTGTGGAACATTAACTTTTTTCTTATTTTTCTTCTCTCAAATAGATCCTAAATGCCCAGGAGATGTTGATTTTCATAATAGTGACTGGGACATTAAGACAATCACCAGCTCCTTAAAATTCTACCTCAGGTATGCCTGATATGATTTGGGACATTGCTTTTCAGAGTTGATGGAATTTGTCTGGATGGAGAATGGAGTTGATATGGTCCCAGTTTTGTGAGGTTAGATAGGATTATTAGAAAAAAAAAATGAAAAGAATTTCGGTCAAAGAACAATGTGCATTAGGAGACTTTTTTTTAATCTGTGAATTTAAGCAAGCAAAACATCAAAATAATAGAATTATTATTGAAATATAGCTTTTTATAAAAGGAAAAATGGCTTTTAAAAAGATTATTTAAGAATCATGTCCTTAAAATAACTGAAGTTTTGTGATTGCAAACAGATAGAGTGATGTCTCAATAGGCTGACTAGAAAAATCAAGAGTTGTGACAATTCACGGTTGTTAATATGTTTTAGTGGATAATAACCATTTTGAAACATTAGATTGGTTTGCAAAAACATAATCTGTGTGTTTGTGTGTCTTTTGTTGTAGCTCATACCTTAATCAATATAATGGAAATAAAAACCAAAAACTACAACCATAAAGATGTTAAAACTGAGTGAACTGGCAGCAGTAGGAAGAAAACTAACTTACCAGCAAAATTTGGGGATGTACAATGATGATGAATGTATCATTCAGTTTATTGGAATAAATTTTTATCATGTAAAAATATTTGTGACCTATATACTTTGTAAACTCATTCATTTCTTACTATTTTTTGTGTCCCGTAGTAAGCAACCATACTTTATGTGCTGCAATGTCTTCAATTATTTTACTCTCTAGATGTTAAGATAGGTACTTAAGCTCTGGGAAATATCATTAATCTAAAATAGATTTGGTCCCAGATATTGCTGTTAGATGACCTTCTGATATAGCATCATCTTAGAATTTTATGTAAACATGAATGATCTTTCCAGGAGTATTTCTCTTGCATCTGCCAAAGAAGAATGGTACTGTTGTTGGAGGGTTTATTCTGTGCTAGGCAGTGTTCTAGTTGCTCACATTGACATTGTCATTGTTTTTTCTCACAATAGTCCTATAAGGTAGTAACACCTTTCTTGGTTTACTGATGAAGAAATTGAAGCATTCCCCCTGTTTCATTAAGTAATATTCCTGGTCACAGCTCATATTATTTAAACCTAAATATCTCTGACTTGCAAGGCCACTGATATTAGAGCATCTTATCCCCTTACACCCCACCTCCCAGGGGCTGTGGCCTTCTTGGAATTGCTTGGGTAATTTAGTAAAGACAGAACAATCTGCCATGCATACTTCCAGGAGACTCATGATGATGAGAATAATGCAAGTAAATGACTCTGTCTCTAGCCTCCTTAAAAGGAGTCAGTTTTTTCCTCCAGAGATTTATATAGGTTAAGTCCCTCCTACATTATATCTTTCCCGGCTCATCTTATAATGAACAGCATGACTCTTTCAAAAGATGGAAAGATTGAGCCTGAAAGTTTAAGATGCCAGTAACCCCAATAAGAGATATTTGTTCTTGGATTCTTATCCAGGAACCTTTAATATGCACTAGCCAGTCAACACCCTTTAGATTTCTCAAATATGTCAGTATTTTTAGAGTGAACCTGCTCCACCTATGTTCTATGTACCTAACTTACCCCCTATATCCAACATTTCCAGAAAACTACTCTAAAAACCATCCCTTCTCTCTTATATGTGTTTAGACTCTGTCATTCAACTGGGTCTTTCCTCTCAGCATGTAAATATGCTCCAGGAATGCACATCTCTTTGACCTTGAGTCTTGTTTTATTCATTCATTCCACCATTCACCAAATCATTCTGTAAACATTTCCTGGAGCCTACTTTATGCCTAGCATGGTATCAGGCCCGAGGTTGTGAGTAGATATGGCCTCTGACCTTAAAAAGTTTATACTCCAGTGATAAGGACACTCAAAAGATAAATAATTATACAAATGTGATGCATAATAATAATTATAAGTGCTCTGAAAGAAAAGTACAAGGGGCTATGGGAGTCACATAACAGGAATTTTTTAGTTTGAACTGAGATTTGAATCATAACCTGGAGTCAGTTGTGGGAGAGGCAGTTCCAGACAGAAAGAACTTCATATGCAAAGACCTTGAAGCAAGAGGAAGACCCTTTCAAGAAACTACATGTACTAGTATACGTGGAGTATTGAGTGTAGAGAGGGAGGGAGAGATATGCAGGGGCCAGATCATGCAGGCCTTTTAGGACATTTTAAAATTTGGGGTTTGGATTTATATTGAAAAGAATGGGAATATACTGAAAGATTTTGAAGCAAGAGGTTATATGATAAGGCTTGCATTTTGAAAGAGTTGATACTTCTATGTGGACTAGGGAGTAGCAGTGAGAACAGAAATAAGCATATTCAAGAAATTTAGGGAGTAAACTTAGGTATGAGAATGGGGGAGAGGAAGATAAAAGAATAACTTTCATATTTCTAGCCTATACAACCAAATGATGGTCATACACTTACTGATTTGAGAAACATAAGAAAACGACTAAATTTGAGGAATATGACAAGTTAGGTTTTGGATACGTCAAATTTGGGTGTCTTTGAAAAAATGAGTGCAGGAATTTTAAGTAGGCAATTGGATATATAGAAACTAATATAGGAATGGAACTCAGAGAATTCTGAGCTTGAGTTAAAAAATTGAGATCATTAACATTGTGATATTTAAGAGCTTATACAAGATTGCCTAGTGGGAGAGATGTTTCACCCTTTCCCAAATAAGCTTCAGTATATGAAGTGATATACACTCCCTGTCTCTACTTCTTAACCTCCCAGTTTAACCCACTGCAATCTAACTCCCACCCATACTGCTCCACTGAAGCTGCTCTTGCCAAGGTCACTGGTGACTCCCTCAATGCTGAACAGAATGGACAATTACCAGCCTTTACTTGCTTGACCTCTTTGTAACATCTGAAACTGTTAACAAGCCCTCCTTGAAACTTTTTCTTCATTTAGATTCTGCTATATCACTTGCTTTTGGGTTTTCTCTCACCTTTTTGACCATTTTTAGAAGCCCCTTTTATGGCCTTTCTACTTGATATTTCCTAGGGCTTTCATGTACATATATTTACTACACTGGAGGGATTGAAAACTCAAATATTCACAGGAGCCAGGGCGTGAAAATGAGTGAAGTAGACTACTTTCATATTAAACACATTGCTTATCAGACCTCTACTTGCATAGCAATTCCCTTGTTTATGTAGAAACAGCACTGTTCTTTACTTGCATAAATAACCATATGGGCCCAATGTAACTAGATCTTTCAGTTTTCAATAGAGGTAGACAATGTGGATTTTTATGTGAAATATCTCAATTTTTCATATTCTGATGACTGATTCAATTCTATTTCTGTTTTACACACTATTCTGAACAAGGAAGAAATGTTGGAAGGCCTAAGTAGCTGTTGGCTGCCAGTTTGCCATCTCCCCTTGAGCAGTGGTATCTGTTCTCATGGTTTTAATCAGCCTCCTAGGTTCATGATTTCCACATCTACCTCTCAGATCTAAAAGGGGACTCCATCTGTTTACCTAATAGACATCTACCTTTGGCTATCCCAGAAACCCCCCTGACATTGCATCTCCACTTCCCTCTGAATCAATTTCTACTCTATCCAGTCACCCAAACCAGATTTCTCTCTCCCTCATCAGCATACCCAATCATTAAAGGAGTTCTGCCTTCAGATAACTGTCCTCACCCCTAATGGCACTATATTTGTTTATGCCTTTATTATCTCTCGCCTGGATTACTACAATAATAGCAGTGGCAAGCAGTATACCATAGTGGTTAAGAGCATGGGCTTGAAAGAAACTGCCTGCTTCTCCCACTTGCTAGCTGTATAGTCTTGGATGAAGTATTGAATTTTTCTGAACCTCAGTTTCGTTTACTATAAAATGGAGCTAATAACAATATCTACCTTACAGGGTTGTCATGAGAATTAAATGCATAAATATATGTAAACCACTTAGAAGAGTAAGTAAACCAGTGAAGAGTTTGATGTTATTATTATTGTTGTTGTTGTTGTTATTATTATTACTTCCTTCCTCTGAGCCATGCGCCACTCACCTTTATTATCATACTTATTCCATTGCATTGTAAATTTTGTATATGGCACTCTCCTCAACTATGCTATTAGCTCCTTGGAGGTTTAGACTAAGTCTTGTTCATCTCTGGATCCCCCATACCTGGCACAATACCAGTCACAAGAAGGTACTCAGCCAATATTTTTTTTTACTAAATAAAGAATTCTATTTGAGCTTCAATTCCCTTTTCTTTAAATGGGGATTTGAATTACTGCTCCACCTCACAGGGTCTTTGGGAATATCAAATAGGGGGACAGATGTAAAAGCACTTTGGAAACTAAGGAAGTATCAAACTAAAGACTTCAGAGTCACATTCATAGTGGGTCCACTTTGAAATTTTGAAGAACTGGTTTGTGCTTCTTTTCACTTTAGAGAATTAATCAGAGACCCTGTTTGAGGTCTCAGCCCATACTTTTATAGGTCTTCTGTTCACTTATTAGCAACTAGAATTCCTCTGACACAGTTTCAGGTGAAGAGAGAAATGTATGCAGTCACACTAATCTGTGGAATGCAGAAATGTCAACCTTGCTACCCACAGAACTGAGAATCTAAGGTCTCACTACTCTCTCCCCAAAGGAACTTACAGTCTTCATTAATTTCAGGAATCTTTCTGAACCTGTCATGACCTATAGACTTCACAAAGAGTTGGTCTCTGCTGCCAGTAAGTATGTTACTTAGTTACTTGTGTTGCCCTGGCTTCTTAATAATGTTTGCAGTGATAAGCCTAGAAAAAAATGTTGTGGGAAAGTAGTTGAGAGAGGAAAAAAAAACAAAGACCTATACACAGACTTTGAATGAGAGTATTCTTGCTTGCTATCTAACTCAAGTGTTATGTTATTTTTCATAAATCAATGTTATTTGAGTGAGTTTGAGAAAACTGACTAACGAGGGATATGACAGGTATGGGGATGTTATTGATGGATAGTGTCTCTTAGGTCAGAACAGGAATGTTGGCTCATGTTACCAGGGGACAGGAAAATGGTTCCATTACAGTTACTGTTTCAGCTTTCTGCGGCACTTTGTCTTTCCAAATGCTTTTCAATTGTGTTGTGAATTATGACTCCTCATTTTTTAGTCCCAGTGTCATGCTGTCTAGATGTTAAGAGTGAGGGTGAGGGTGAAGGGGTGCATAGGAAATAAGGCATATAGAATCATCCCTAAAATTTGATAACTGAAGAAGCATTAAAAGTTTTGGCTGAGACCACTGTATGAGTATCCCTCCCTACCTTTACATAACCCTTCTCCTGCATTATGCCCTGGATGGGATGCAGGAAAAAGATTCAGGGGATTTGTCCTCATAATGAATCTTTGTTGAGACAAGAAACCTTTGATCTTCACTCTGAGCTCTCTGAGTGATTTTCACAGGAACCCAGAGGCAGCAGCCTCCCTCCTAGCACCACAAGGAAGGAGGGTGGGCAAGGGTTTCCAGCTGGAAGTTTACACGTCCAACTTCGGGAGCAACCTGCTGTACCCAGAATTCTGACTTGTTCTGAGATAGTCTTTTCTACTCATATTTCTTTTCTCTACTCTCTTCTGTTTTCTTTTTCTCTCCAGACTTATTTCTTTGTTTTTATCTCTGATTTTGCCTCTCTTTCTGTCTCTGTCTCTGTCTCTCTCTCTCTCATCTTAGTTTCTTGCTCTCTCTTTGTCATTGTGTCACTATGTCTATATCTCTCTTTCTTTTCATCTCCCTAACTCTGTGTGTCTCCAATTGTCTATCTCTGCATGTGCGTGTGTGTATGTGGGTGTATGAGAGTTTGCTTGATCAAGTTTCTCAGGAGGCAAAACTCTCTCTCTTTTCTCTCTTAGAGTCTGACAACCTGGATTACCGGCTGGGAGCTATTCACTCCCTGGTATATAAGCTCCCAGAAAAGAACCGAGAGATGCTGGAACTTCTTATAAGACACTTGGTCAAGTAAGTAATTTTCTAGGTTTTCAGGAAGAGTTCCTCTTAGAGGACTGGCCCACAGTGTCACACTGCAGAGAAACTTCTTGTCAGCTCATTAAGTCCTGACCCCCAGCTTCTTCAACCTTAGCAGTCTGAGTGCTCTGTGAAAAAGATGATTTTGCCTTGACCCTTGTATATATCCTTCCAGAGTCATCATGCATCTTAGTGGAGGGGTTGTCTTTGTTGACGGATAGCACCAGGAACAGCAGGCAGAACACAGGCATTGCTGTCAGATAAACCTCATTTCAAATATCAGATCTACCACTTATTTAACTGTACAATCTTAGGAAGACCTCTCTCAGCCTGTTTGGTCATCTGTAAAATGAGAATAGTGTTGCCTACCACACGGGACTATTGATGGATTTGAATGGACACAGGTAAAGTGCTTGCATGGCACATAGGAAGTTCTTAAGAAATGGGAGTTGTTGTTAAGACTGTGCTCATTTTTCTTGCTTGGGTGAGGCAGACAGGAACAGATAGCAGCATTCCAGAGAGTAGGTCTGATGACAGGCTCTATGATGGGTGTAAGGGGCAGATGTGTCCCCCACTTTGGTGCTTATTGACCAATGGGTTCAATGTTGTAAATAAAGATGAATTTACTTGACTCATAAAAGGCCAGCTGCTGCCTTTGAGGAAAGAATGCAGCAGAAAGTAATCTGTCCAGGAGTGGGTTCTCGTGTCAGTTCTGCTACTTTCTTTCCTAGTAACCATGGTCAGGGTACTCTGAAGGCCTCTCCTGGTATATTAAAAAGTAAGTAAATAAGATAACAAGCTTGGAAAATTTGTGATGCATTTTAAGTATTTATATTTAACAAAATAAAGCTATCAGTATACTCACAACAATGCAATGATGAAATATTTTGACTTCATTTGGAGAGTATCTCAAACACCTAACATTGAGGCCCTTAGTGAAGGTGAGACTCTGGGCTAAGTGACCCTCTTGACCTCCTGCTGTAGTAAATCCTGATCACTCTGTAGCACTGAACCTCAAGTTCCCCTGTGATATGACGATACCTCTCTAAGATCTGACCCAGTTCTGACATTCTAACTATTTTTGTTCTTTTTTTTAACTTCCTTAGCCAATGAGTATTATAGACACTATTGCAGGTAAATAGGCAAAATTAACAAGAGGATGGCTTTTATATTTATTGCCAATGTTTGCAGTTGTGGCTAAGAGACATTTTCTTTCCAAACAATTGTGATAATTTCAGTAAAGTACAAAAAAATCAGCACATATGCCATTGGTATGTTAATTTGAAGTTGCTGAGGGGAAAAGGGACTTTGGGTTCAAGTTTCAGCTCTATCACTAATTTGCTGTGTGACCTAAAAAATGTCCACCCTACTCTCTGGGCCTCAGTTTAGTCTATCTATAATATGAATAAGGACTGAACTAGCTAATCTAGAAGGGTTCTTCCAGCTCTGACGTTCTAGGAGTCTCAATATGTGACATAAGCCAAGTTCTCAGTTGAAGATTCTCCTGCTAGCAGGTAGTGAGATACACCTGCCTACATTCACCAAAGTCTGGCTATCTACTTTACTTGAAGAATCTTGGTCCTTAAAATCCCTAGACCAAAAGGAGCAATAGACACGAACACACAGGATGCAGAAATAGACAAATACCCTTACATATGTCAAAAAACTACACAAGTTCACTTATAATAATAAAAATGCTAATTAAACCTATAACTGAGGTACCATTTGTTGGCAGACCCTAAGGCTTGACTGCATTCTCTGTTGATGAGACTTTAGGGCATAGGGACTCCAATACATTGCTGGAGGGGGGAATTTGGCAATATTTAACAAATCTGCATCTTCAGTTACCCTTTGACCCAGCAGTTCTACTTTTAGGCACTTACTTTGAAGACATATCTCCACAAATAAAAAAACAACTTATGCACAAAATTTGTCATAGCAGCATAATTTTTAGTAACAAAAGATTGGAAACAACACAAATGAATACACCTAATGCTCAGATCTTTTGTTTTTAAATAGCATTCCCTTCAAAAAAGTGCCAAGGTATCTTAGGAAAATGGCTGATTCCAAGTCTGGGGCAAGAAAAATACAAGATGAGCATTGGGAAAAGTACACTGTTGTAAGCAAAAAACCTTACATACTAACTGGGTCATGTCACAAATATTCAAGAATCTTCTTGAAAATGCTGGCACTAATTACATCTGGGGGCACCCTAAACATCAAGAACAATTAATAGTGTATTTGATTATAGCACTTTGGATAAATAAAAATCCATGGGAGGTAGATTATGGAAAGCTCTTTATCACTGAAGAATACCAGAATAAATGAGGGGAATGATAGAATTTGAAAAACTACTGAATTGTACAAATCTACAGTAATCACAATAGTATGATACTAGTACAAAAATAGACATGTAGATCAATGGAACAGAATAGAGAGCCCAGAAATAACTCATGCATCTGTGGTCAATTAATCTATGCCAAAGGAGGCAAGAATACACAATGGAGAAAAAAAAAAGACAGTCTCTTCAATAAATAGTGGTGGGAAAACTGGACAGCTACATGTAAAACAATGAGATTAGAACATTTCCTCCCAACATATACAAAAATTAACACAAAATAGAACTGAAACCATAAAACTCCTAAAAGAAAACATAGGCAGAACACTCTTTGACATAAATCATGGCAATATTTTTTGGGTCTGTCTCCTAAGGCAAAGGAAACAAAAACAACAATACATAAATGGGCTCTAATCAAACTTAAAAGTTTTTGCACAGCAAAGAAAACCATTCACAAAACAAAGAGAAAACCTATTGAATGGGAGAAAGTATTTGCAAATAATTTGTCCAATAAGGAGTTAATATCCAAAATATATAAACAACTCATACAACTCAATATCAAAACAACCCAGTTAAAAATGTATATTCAAACAATGTAATATTTCAGACACTTGAATAGACATTTTTCCAAAGAAGACAAACAGGTGGCCATCAGGCACATGAAAAGATGTTCAACATCACTAATCATCAGGAAAATGAAAATCAAAACCACAATGAGATATCACCTCACACCTGTCAGAATAGCTGTCATCAAAAAGACCACAGATAACAAATGTTGATGAGGATGCAGATGAGAAAGGAAACCTAGTACACTGTTGGCACAAATGTAAATTGGTTCAGCCACTATGGAAAATAGTAAGGAGGTTCCTCAAAAAACTAAAAATAGAGCTACCATATCACCCAGCAGATATCTGAAGAAAACAAAACACTAATTTGAAAACATACATGCACCCCAGTGTTTATAGCAGCATTATTTACAATAGCCAAGATATGGAAGCAACCTAAGTTTCCATCAACAGATGAATTGATAAAGCAGCTATGGTATGTATGTGTACACACACACACACACATACACACACACACTGGAATATTACTCAGCCATAAAAGGAATGAAATTTTGCCATTTGCAACAACATGGATGCACTTGAAATAAGTCAGACACAGAGACCAAAAACTATATGTTATCACTTATACTGAAATCTAAACATTAAAACCAATGAATGAACATAACAAAATGGAAATAGACTCACAGATATAGAGAACAAATGAGTGGTTACCAGTGGGTAGGGGGAACATGGGAGGATTAAGATAGTGGTAGGGGACTAAGAGGTACAAAGTACTATGTATAGAATAAATAAACTACAAGAATACATTGTACAGCACAGGGAATATAGCCATTATTTTATAATAACTTTATAATGGAGTATAATATAAAAATGTTGAATCACTATTTTGTACACCTGAAACAATTATAATATTGTAAGTCAACTACACTTTATTTTTAAAGACAATTTTATAGTGGTATAATTCCTGTATAATAAGCTACACATATTTCAGATGCACAATTTGATGAATTTTGATAGCTATATACACCAATGAAACCACCACCACAATCAAGATAGCTAAGATTTCTATCACTCTCCAAGAGGTGCAAATTTCAAACTTCCAAAAGGAAGGGATAAATCAACTACCCTTAAAAAAATAATGAAAATCTACCATTTGCAACCTCAGTGCCCTGTTTCTGACATGAATCAAAATGACTGGGTAAAAGGTTTTTCAGGAACAAGATATTCATATAGTTTCAATGCATTCATTACACACAGATTACTTACTAATTACCAATGGAAAACTGTATCTTTACAATAAAGTTATCTGGCAAACTCCACCTTAAGTAATTGATCACAGCTAGCATCACTAATAATGATACAAACTGACCTTATGTACTACCTGGTGTGATGCAGTAAGAAGTGTACAGCATAAACAAATATTTTTGCCAAGAATGTTTAACCCCAATCAAATTAAGCCTTTCAGTTTACAGGAAGTACAGGGTACAGAAAAATGCAGAATGTTTGACATTCTAACAAGACAGCTGGCGTGGAGTTTTCAAAAGTCAATGTCCTGAGGAAGAAAGGTAGGAGTACTGTTCTATCTTAAGAGACTAAAGTAACAGGAACAAATGCAGTTCATGAACTTTGGATTTAGATTTGAAGCAACCAACTATAAAATATTTTTTCATGACATCTGAGAAAATTTGAATATGGACTGGATATTGGATAGTATGGAATGATTGTAAATTTTCTTAGACGTGAAAATGTTATTGTGATTTTGTAGGACAGCATGCTGAATCTTTGAGATGAATGCCAAGGTATATAGGGTTGAAAGCAATTTACTTTTAAGGATTAAGGAAAAATATAAAGAGAAAGAAAGCAAATGTAGGTAAATGTTAATTCTTAAATTTAGATATAAGATATTATGAGTGTTCATAGTACATTCTTTCAGAATTGTATGTTTGAAATCTTTTATAACCAAAATTATAAGGAAAATACTAATTAAAAATAAGTTTAGTTCCAGCAGGGAAATTTACACAGAAGAAAATCTGTGTGGTTTCAAAATTTACATAATTTTCCTTCCTGCCAACCACTGATTTCATAATCTA